AAATGCTCTATTGGATTGAGACTGGTGACTGTGGAGGCCATTTGAGTACAGTGAACTCATTGTCATGTTCAAGAAACCAGTCTGAGATGATTCGTGCTTTATGGCGCTTTATCCTGCTGGAAGTAGCCGTCAGAAGATGGGTACACTGTGGTCATAAAGGGATGGACGTGGTCAGCAGCAATACTCAGGTAGGCTGTGGCGTTGACACAATGCTCAGTTTGTAGTATCGGGCCCAAAGTGCGCCAAGAAAATATCCCCCACACCATTACACCACCACCACCAGCCTGAACTGTTGATACAAGGCAGGATGGATCCATGCTTTCACGTTGTTGACACTAAATTGGGGTTTCACCGAAATTCCAAAGACATGCACTGTAGGTGAATTGGGTGAACTAAATTGGCCGTAGTGTGTGCAAGAGTGTGTGGGTGTTTCCCAGTGTTGGGTTGTGGCTGGAAAAGCATCGGCTGCGTAAAACATATGATGGATAAGTTGGCGGTTCATTCTGCTGTGGCGACCCCAGATCAAAAAAGCCAAAAAGAAAATGAATGAATGAATGAAATTGGTTGTAGTGCAAATGAGTGTGAATGAGTGTATGGGTGTTGCCTAGTACTGGGTTGTGGCTGGAAGGGCATTTGCTGTGTAAACATGCTGGAATAGTTGGCAGTTCATTCCGCTGTGGCGACCTCTGAAATAGAGACTAAGCTGAAGGAAAATGAATGAAGATTTTTACATTTTATTTCCAGTGATACTTTATTTAAAATAGAGACCTATGTGTGAATGCCGAATTTCTTTTTATTAATTATATAGTTAAAATTTAAACACAAAGTCTTCAGCTGGAATAAGGTCACTCCTACTGAATGTTCAGCCCATATTCTTCAGCTATTTTAAGTCGGTAGTTGACCATTCATCAGCATATGTTCTCATTGTGTTTCATCAGCGGATGTGGGAGGAAACCACACGAGTTCGCTCAAAATCTTTCTCAGCCTTTCAACCAACACAACCTCTTTCAGTTCACTTTGAGGAGAAATTCAGTCCACTCTACTAATACAACATTCATAATCCTCAACATCTACTTGTATTTGAAGCTATCAAAACAAAGCTAAGCTAAAAATAACCTACGTTTCTAAATGTTTCACAAGAAAGGAACATGAGATCCAGCAGTAATTAGCACTGGACTGATTTCACCTGTGTTCATTTCAGAGGCTCAATGGAGTGCATGTAGGAGCTCGTGGCCAATAGGGAAAGCATGTGCTGTCTGGAGGCCTGCATGCAGCACACGGCTGGCTGGTGGTTGAAGTGTTGCTGAACAGGAAGTTGCAGAGCAGATTCGAGAGCTCCAACAGACCAACATGAGGGGCTCTTATCAGCTACTCGTCTTGCTTTTCTTAGCAGGCTTATGTTCACCCGGTAAGAGCTTGTCTCATACTCTTTTTCTGTGGATTGAGCTGTTTGTTTGGTTTTGTTTATCTGCCACTTAAATGGGATTTTGGGTCAGAAATTACTTTGCTTATTAAGGGTTAATATTTTACTCCTGAAAATTGATTTGCTGGTGGGACATTTTTTCTTCACCAAGGCCAGTTGTTAGAATCATCGGTGATGACTTTTATGTGAATACTTGGTATAAATCAACTCCATTTATTCACAAAGTTGAAGTTAGAATGTAAATATTTTTTATAGGAATTGTAAAAGTGAAAAACTCATCACACACTAAAAATATAATGTAGCTGATGATTTATGGATCATTTACATTTATTTATGCCTTCAAATTTCATTATGGGGCAATTTATGATATTTTTTTGGGCAAAAACTGGGCAATAAGCAACATTTGTTTGTATGTGTGCGCGTGCGCATATGATATCTCTCTTATTTTGTTTATATTTACTTTTTACTATTTATTTTATTTATTTATATTATTTATTTTTAGAATTTTTTTCTTTATTAATTTCATTTTTTTATTATTCATTTTATTTATTTTTATTATTTTTTACATTTATTTATAATTTTTATTATTTAGTTTTATTTATTTTATTATTAAGTTTTTTTTATTTTTTATTATTATTTATTTTTATAATTAATATTTTTATTTAGTATTTATTTATTTTTCTGTGTTTATTTA